TCGTCGTCATCCAGTGAATGAAGCGATCGTAAGGAACCAAAGACAGACGTGCGCCTTTTCTGCAGGGATTTACGTCGGGAACGAGTGGTGGTCTCCGGGACTATTATTGTAGGTGTCGACGCTATGCGGGCTGCCGTTGATTCCGATTCGATCGTGCCGGGCCAATGCTGAGCATTGTTGCCCGGAGCTCTTGCTGGGCTGGTGTTCCGGACACCAAAAAACCCGGAATTTCGTCGGTTCTTCTTCTTGAGAGTGTTGACATCGTCCGAGGGCGATCGATCGTGGGTAATCGCGGAACCGGATAGAATTGAGGTCGTCGAGGACGGGCTAAACACGCTCAGGCTTTTTCTGCGCTCTTTCTTCCCCAAGCTGTCGGCCATGGCGGGGGGAGCGGGTAAATTGGAATAGGTTCAGATCCACGGCAAGCGCAGAAAAACAAAAATAACGAGTGTCAGGGAAATTATTAAAGGAGTGAAAAGTCCTCACATCGACGACATCGACGTCGTTCTCACTAGGAGAGAAGCGCAGAAGAACCAAGTTAGCTCAGTGTCACCACATGGTAATGACGGGCATGCATATTGGATAAGGACCGGCTAGTGGTAGATAGTGAGAGCATGATTTTTGGGACCATGAAACTAGCTCAGCCTCTGGTCCTGTGGAGCAGGGACGATGGAGAAGGAAAAAGAGGGAAAGCAGACTAATTAGGGAGAGGGAAGAAGAGGGAAAGGAGAAGAAGAGGTGGAACATACAGCAGTCCGTCAAGGCGCCATGAGAAGCAATTGGTAGACTGAGGGGAAGCACCGGAGCTACGACGAGGACAGTGGTACTTTAGGCCAAGTACTGTAGCTTGGACGTAGTCACCAGAGATTTTAATAAACAATCGGAAATGGTTAAGAGAAAAGTAAAACAGTAAAGAAGTAAAAAAGTAAAGAAAAAATTATCGAAAGTCCACAATTTCCCTAGGAACTCAAGGCAACCGCTAACTGAATTGATCACCAGAAGGAGAACAGAAAAACAAAAGAATGAAGAAAGGTACGTGGAAGGTTACAATGAGACAGAGGAGCTGAGAGACGATAACCGCCCAGAGAGAATCACAAGAACAGAAGCAGCGGATGAAGCGCCGGAAAGGGAAGCAGATGAAAGCGAAAGCAGCCAACAACGACAAGAAGAATGGATTGACTAGTACTGGCTTGCAATACTGGAGGAGGGCGATACAAGTAGCTAAGGTATGATAATGATAATATGAGATGTGAAGGTAGGTATTGGAGTTTGGTAAGAACAGGGGAAATCAGGAACAGGAACGAAATAGATGACCAGGAACAAGATTTCACTCCAGAACCAGAGGGGAAGAATCAATGGATGGAAATGGATGGAGGTTGGCTATCTTAGTAGTCTTAGCAGGTTATTTAATAAGAGCATGACAGTAATACTCCGTAGAGAGGTACGATAACTTGATATAAATGTCGACTGTTAGTTAATAATGACTACGAAGCATCAAAATAATATCATTCAATTTGCTGATTGAGAACAAGCATGATGTCAGCTCGGAATCATGTAAGCAATTTTACTATGTTTATTTACTCTTTTCCAGTAAGGTAAGGAATTACTTCAGTTACGTACAAGTTACAGGTTACTGCTGCAAACAGCTCCGGCGGCAAGACGAGAACAGTCAAGGGCGATCAATGCCTCATAGTGATGCTGATGGCAAAATTAAATGCTACTTGGTGACTTACTGATCAATAATGATCATAGAGCTCCGCAATGGGAAATGATCAGATGGAGTCGATCGCAATAATGTACGGGGAAATTGGCAGCAATAGCATCATTGTATGATGTACGTACCTCCCTATAAATCCATAACTTAAGTTCTCAAACCCTGAGTTCCCGACCATCCAGCATTGACACTAATCGACACATGAGAGAGACTGAGTATCTAACCCAGATACCTCAGTCTCTAGCCAGGTACAGAGGTACTCCGTAGCTAAAAAGGGGTTGAAAGCTGAAACACGGTGGATTTAAGCTACCTGATACCGACTAACACTTAGCCTATGCTGGTGAACAATTTGAGGCGACCCTTCATTTACCAAAGCGTGACGGACCCGAGCCACATCAGTTGTAGACAAAATAAACGAACAGACGACTCTTCCATCCGTACAACAACAGTTCGAGATACTTTAGTTCATGGTCGGGTTTCAGGAGACGAAGAACGCCTCCGAAGCACGGAACATCTACACTGTAACAGCTAAATACAGCTTTCAACTAGCGCAACGCAAGCTCCACCAGATCTCGGATCGTCATCGTGTGGATTACTCAATTCATAGAGGTATTCCACTCTGAGAAAAGGGTACGTACACTGTCCAGCTCCAAGTCTTCTGCGGTCTCCATTTTACCCCCAAGGCCAGTTGAGTGCCAAGTGCCAAGTATCATCGACTATGTGGAACTCAGGATGGTTCCTGCCTCCTTCATGGTTGTAACTCCGATCCTACCTGAGAAAGCCTGAAAGGTACTCACTACCTTACTCATGCGCCCGAACGGAGCCATTGAAGCCTATTTCACTGAGCCACAAGCCCGGGCGCCTTCGAGAAACTAAGAATAGCCGCGTACACCAGCAAAGTAAGGCTGCAAGTGACTTTGGCTTAGGGCTAACCACCATAGTACTCGTAATACAAAGGCCAAGAAAAAGCCATTTGGATCAAGTGAATTACCCTTGATGTCATGTTACAGATCTTTTCCAATCATGGCCCTTTTCGTCATGCAATCAGCTTGAAGCCTATGATGCAGCACAGCTTGTATTCTTGATAATGACGGAGTCCCATTGCTGATCTACGCAATCGGATAGCTGAGGATCTACAGGACTTAGTCGAGCCCGTCGTCACGGAGATCACAGGGTTTCAGATTCATCCCCGCACAGAGAGCGAGTACCGTGGCGAGGAGAGAACGATGACGAAACGAGCGCATCGGCCAGTTGAGCCATGTAGGTATGAGGCAGACCATAAGTATCGTTCTGGTCATTGCCTCGGCTCAACACGATGCAATGCCACACATCGACACTGCCCTGTGTTTCCGGCTGGTGGATGCCTTCGATGAACGGAGACCTTTTGACGAAATTTCAAACTCATGCAAAACCCGTCTACTCCGATTCTGAGAATCGCGCTACCCTCTGTGCCTGCAGTCGTTCGGCTCGTTTTACCTTCCGCATGAAATCAATATATTCGTTCACTCTCCGCTCGGCCCAGATGCATCCCCCCAGAGTCATTGCCGCAATCTGTAGGAAGACCTTAAATTGCGGAGTCAATCCCCGGTAGACCCGGGCCGTCGGAGACAGCCACTCAGAAAACCCCTCGAGGGGGCCGTAGATGAATTTGGACCGTAGATGGTCCTTGGAAAAACGCAATGTCCCCGGACGACTGGATGACGGCGACGGCGCTGGATGTGACGGAGTTGCCGCTGGTGGAGAGAACTTGAAAGGATGAGGAAGCATGAGGATCATATGTGCAAGGATGGACACGGAGCCAAACTACCAATCAAGAGCTGTGTGTCAGCATGTTGCACTCATTTCGCCAGCACATACGCGAGGTCTGAGCCATTCACCCCATGAACCCGATATGGAACTCATCTGGAAATAACAAGGATTATGATGATCAAACCCACCCGAAACGCTCCAGTGAGGAACCCTCGAACAGCCTCCGACGTGACCTCGTCTGGAGGGTCAATATCCCCTTTCTGACTCACTGTAGGCATGCTGGAAGGATCTGATGATATGCCAAGATTATATAGATGTTATGGACTGAAAAAGAAAAAAGGTCCAGAAGAACCGGAACAATCCTCGACATGAAGCTGAGATCACCATTGCAAGTGTTATCATTCGATAGTTAACACTTGCGAATGACGCAGCTATACAGTCGGATTAAGTGATTGTCCATTTCCGGTAACACTGAAACGCGGGACATGTTCCGCTAAAAAAAGTGACAGTGAATCAGACCTTGATTACTACACAGTCCTTCAGTCGAGATACTGCTGAGACAGCCTGAATCAGAATTCAATTGCACGGGAACTGTTTGATTACTGAATCCTAGAAACACAACCCTTCAATTACTGAACCTGCCGCCCTACATCCACACAATGCCTCTCCCCGCACGAACAGCGACCGTCTCGCGGGTGACCAACGAGACCAAGATCCAGGTCTCTCTCTCTCTCGACGGCGGCGTGCTCCCTCCATACGAACCGTCAGAGCATTTCCCGGCTGCTGAAGACCCGAAGGAGGCAGAGGCCGCCAAGCACGGCATCGTTCCCCCCAAGAATGCCGCCCATGCGACCCAATTCACACCGACCCAGCAGATCACCGTGAGCACCGGGATCGGATTTCTGGATCACATGCTGCATGCTCTGGCCAAACACTCGGGGTGGAGTTTAGCCATCAGAGCCAAGGGAGATCTGTACAGTATGTGCTTCAGTCTCGCCCCCCTAGCACTATCTCGTGGCTAATGTGTTGTACAGTTGACGATCACCACACCACCGAAGATACTTTCCTTGCGCTCGGTGCTGCCTTCACCAAAGCCCTAGGTGCTCGGCAATCTCTTGCACGATTTGGACGCGGCGATGCTCCGCTCGACGAGGCTCTCTCCTGGGCTGTGATCGACCTCTCCAGCCGTCCCTGGGCCGTGATCAACTTGGGCTTCAAGCGGGAGAAGATCGGAGACCTGAGCACCGAGATGATCACTCATGGACTGCACAGCTTCGCGCAGGCTGCTGATGTAACGCTGCATGTTGGCTGCACATACGGAGATAACGACCACCACCGTGCGGAGAGTGCGTTCAAGGCGCTGGCCGTAGCTATCCGCACTGCCTGTGCCAGAAGGGTGGCTGGTGAGGTCGGAGCGGGAGATGTGGTTAGTACAAAGGGAGTGCTGTAAGGGTCCTGAAGATATATGAGAGGGGGAGGGGCAACTACGGATATCAGCGGCCCGAGAGACGAAGTTACGAAGATACAGATGAATCCCAAAGAATACACTGCATTGATGCTCAATTGGAACCCATTAGTCGAAATCCAAACTCGCTCCTCCAAAGAACTCTTAAGCATCCAGCGCCTGCACGGCCCGCGTCCAGTACGCCTTGCGCTCCTCGTTCGCATCCGTCCCCACACAACTGGTGATGTACTTCTCCCACCCACCCTGCGAACCAGACTGCAGCTCCGACCGCACATCCTGCGAGCACTGCGTGGTGAGGAACCAGGCCCCAGAACCAAAATCGTATTCCTCGTTCGACAGCAACAAGTCAAGGACACCCGCCGGGTCGCCAGACACACCCTTCAACTTGTCCGCAAGAGCCGGCAGCGAAGCCGCGTACTTGGCATTGAATGCAGGTGATTGCATATTCCGAGCTATTCGAATCAGGATCAGCCCTCTTCTCGCGGAATACAAATCGTAAAAAATGGAAACGTACTCCCCTGCCCCGCAACACCAGGGAAATGGTTCCTATTGTACTCGAAATCCAGACTCTCAAATGCCATCAACCCGATCACGGCCGCCTGCTCCGCAACCGACGTCACCTTGTACGTCTCGAATGACTTGGCGATGTTGGCCGCAGCCTGGTCGGACGTGGCACATTCGCCCGGGGCAGGCGCGTCCGCGCACGACTTGGACTTGGGTGCGATGGCCTCGATCTGCGCTGCTGTGATCTTCACGTCTCGGGCCTGGTGCTGGGTGGTGGTAGAAGCTGGAGCCGCGTAGCCCAGGGTAGGGAGGACGAGGAAGACGAGAGAGTTGTAGAGATGAGTTGGCTTCATTGTGAGCTGCGCTGTGTGCCCTGTACTTCTACCGGGTGCTCATAATTTATAACAGACAGTATGAGTCCTCAGAGGAAGAGATCTAAAGATGTATAAGCGGTACTGGCTTCAAACACACTCTTTATATGATTTTAAAATGGAAGGCGGGTAATGCTTATGAGATAATTAGTCACTAGTCAACACTTCTTCATCACCAGAGGGGCAACAAGAGTCTTCATTCCTCATTACCCATCCCACATATTTCAAGGTGGGAGTGGAAATGGCTGGTGAGACTGCGGCTGAAATCTGAATAGGATGAACAGAGGTCTATCATCTTCGCTGTAGTGGTAATTTGAAGGGGTAGATTGTGTTTAGAAATTACCTATCCTACCCCTGGTGTGGCTTTGGGTTCGTCAAGCGTTGCAACGTCGATTATGTCTCAAGGTGTTGCTGGACGAATCCGAAGCATATGCCTCTTGCAGGTCCACGCCTGGTATGCGTTAGCGGCGATCTGCCAGTGCCGAACTCAAAGTTGATTGGAACACGGAGGATCGGGGCTGAAACATGTTGCACAGTATTCTTCCAAGCTGCATGGTGCTGAGCGACCAAACAGGATGGAGAACAGCTTACGGAGTACTATCTCTTGCGCTTACTGGATCATCTGGAGCGCAAGCCTCACAATTACATAGGACTTCTTCTCCATCAGCTCGAATGACAACCTGAATGTACAGAGGAACCCATGGACTTGATAAGAAGAAAACACTTGATTTGCCTGTTCATCGCGAATGTATCATCGCTTAGCAAAATCCTATTTCCGGTCTGCTTCCCAGCCGATACGTTATATCTGTAGTGGGGATGAGTATACCCATCACGAGCGCAAGTCTATAGTGACATGAAAGGTAATGGGATCAAAAGGGAGGTGAAAGATCAATACAAAAGAATATATGTAAACGAGACAATGGAGAATGAAAGGTGAAACAGAAAGAGCAAAGTAGATCAGGAATTTGAGAGAGCCAAATACAATGCGGGTAGGCTGCCTAGCAGACCACCTCGCATGCAGATAGATCCAAGTCATCTTGCCAAAACATGTACAAGCAACCATTTGATCCAAACAGGCGCTTCGGTCAATCCGTGACCCAAGAAAAACTCCATACATGCACGAATAAGCAGAGAAACATGGCCCAGAACTGCGTGTCTCAGAACAGTGTTGGACCATCGGTAATAGTGGGTACAAGAAATGCTGGATGCAAGAGTCGTATCAAATTGCGTTGCGAAGTGACCACGGGGTCACATTTCAGTCACAAAAGAGGCGTAGAACCTTAATCGCGACGGCTGTAAAGTTCGAACGAGGTCTCCGTGACATGGGCGGATTCTTCGTCTTCTTTAAAGCTAACACGACGAAGCAGCGTAGGCATCATGCTTCGAGATCGACGTGTGGGGGAGGATAAGCGACCCAGGCCCGGTAGTTTCGAGTATCGATAGCGGTATTTCGAGCTCAGGAGGATCATGCGCCCATAGACCCACCAGAGGCAGAATCCCACGACAGAGGCCAGGATGAAACCCAGAACAGTAAGGAACATCCAATGTTGACCCATCCAGAAAATCAACCTGGCGTCTTTACCATGCCAGCTGTTGCCGACATGGTGAGTGAAGAAGCTCCACGAGTACTTGTTGTATTCATCCTGCATGAGAATCCGAACCCGTGCAGACTCACTCGGTTTATCTTGCATGTATTCCTTCCAAATCACTGACAGGAAGAGAGGACCAGTCGAGTACATGACGGTAATATAAGGAAGCAGCCAGCTGCGGTCGTAAGATTTCAGCAATTCAATGACTCGAAGGAAAAACGGGTGTTGGGGAACGGATCCCATGGCATCGTTCGAAATACCCGTTGGAACGGTACGGCGCACCCAAGCAGGGTAGGAGAGGAGGGGATCCAATCGCCGGTTGCAACCCTGAATCAATTCGCGTCAGCAAACAGAATTTCGCAGTTCAATTTAGTAACCATGTTCGGAACACATACATCATCAAGGTCGATATATGTACCGCCAAAGTGAGCAAGAACAAAGTATCGGATAGTATCTGCCCGTTGGATCGGGTACTTGTAGCCGTCAAATGTGTCGAGGAACCACGGATATTCGTCCTTGATAAATTCGCGGGACTTTTCGTTGGTCCATAGCTGACGCGGGAGGACACGTTAGTATAACAAGGCAACGGTTGACGGGAGATGAAGCACATACGATGTATTCATAGTCAGGGTGCAGATCTTTGCAGCTTTGTTGAGCCTCCCGCCATACTTCTGGGATTGTCTCGTTCTTGTATGTCTGGTGAATGATCTTGGGTATAATCTGCGGCCGTTGTTCAATTAAGCTTGAATTTGGCGAGGGAAGCTCGGCGTGACGGATTGCATCGGCCGAGGCATCTTCTACCAGCAAGGATAGTAAGGTGAAGACACTGCGCACAAGAAACGATATGATGAGCAGGTTGACAATGAGAAAGATCAAGACACCGCGCCGCATGTTGGAAGTGTAGTAGCACGACCGTGCAAATGTGCAACAGTACGGCCGAACAAAAGATGGACAGGGTGTCCCCAATTGAAGCGCAAATTATTTTCTGACGTTATTTCGAGTCGTAAGGGCGTGTCGTGCGAGGTTCTTGTGAGCGCGAAAGAGGCCGCAACAATTGTCTCCGGTTTGTTGTTTATCTTCAACCTTGTTTTGCCGCCAGCTCACGGAGTAAAAGCGTCGACAATGTAAGCTCCAATTGCCGGATCTGCTGATAGTAGACTGATTATTATCCGAACAATAGTGTTTGTATATGCCTCGAGGAGGATTAATGCTGTCGCAAAGCACAGGCGTTATTCAGAAGGAGACAGGTAATCGGAGAGGTTCTGTTTGCCCTAAGTTGTGATGCCCCTTTTGATGAAGATCCTCAGAACTCGGCGGAAGGGCTTGCGAGGTTGGGGGAAAAAGTGAGAGGACAGACACAAAACGAAGCCTAGTGACGGACGACAAGCCACTACTACTACCACTACTTATTAGTAGTAATAATAGTTGACGGTTTCAAGAAGTGATCTGAGAGGTCCGAATGGGGAAAGGGAGGCGGGGAGGGGGCCAACTTGGGGCCGTTGGGAAGAAGCGACGAATAATACGAAGCAGAGCTAACTTTGTCAAGGATAGATTTGAAGGAAAATTAGGCAAATAATAATCTTTAGAGGACGTTTGGACCTGTAGATCAATAATGGTAATGAATGTAGGAAGGTTAGAGTTTCTTGGACTGGAAATAAAAATAATAAAAAAAGAGGTGTAAGGAAAAAATAGAGATTCGGAGTAAAGTTTTTTAAAATAAAAATAAAAAGGACAAGGGAAAAGTTACTTAGAGAGCGAAGAGAAGGAACGAAGGATGCCTAGCTACAAAGCATCAGCTAGAGAAAGACAAGTAGAGAGGCAGTTAAAGAGCAAAAGAAAGAGAGAAAGAAGGGAGGCGTGGCCGAGTGTGTGTACAAGTCGTTCGATTCGCCCATGTCAACATCCCTTAACAGCGGTCCATGGTTACGAGGGAGGACCCAGGGCTGTTCAGGGGAGAGGGCCCTGGAGAGGTGGGGCGACGGGGCGTGATACTAAGGTAGAGTGTAGTGGAGCAAGTCTGCGAATACTCGGGGAAGCCTTTGGGTTGGAGTTGAGAGCCACTGTCGCCAGAGCTAAGCCTCCGCCACACTACTTGATCTAGCCCGCAGAATCCTTCCCTGATCAGGTCTAGTGCCAAACTTTCACCGGGCTAGTTTATTACCAGAGTTGACGAGCAGGGCAGTGCATTGAAATTAACTACGTACCTACGCGCCAGTATCTGGTAAGAAATAGGAAATTGAGACTATTACTCGCATATCGTCATTGAAGGTACGGTAGTCTGACGAAAGAGCAAGTTCAAAAGGGATAGGATCAAAGGCCAGTACACCAGTTTATACCTGACTTAAGAAGCTTGCACCAATGAAACTAACGGAGCGACAAGGTTCGTCGCTGAAACTAGGCCATTTTAGCTGATCACCTTAGTTCTGCTTTCTTCGTTAGCCTTTCGTTGAGACAGGAATGATAACTAAGCGGGATTGGCGCAATTGTCCAGAGCCTTGTTGGTATGTAAAGAGCATCGGACTTGCTTTTCTTCTATACAGATTAAGCGACGATTGCTGTTTTCAATGCGATATTATTTGGATGACGATGTACCTTTTTAGTTTTTCTTTGAGTTCTACAGAGCAGGCGATCAGTTTCATTGACATGTACGATTTATCTGTCGGAACTCATTTCAGTGTGGATTACGGTTTCGTTTTTATGCCTTGGCTGCATGTATAGACTGAACCAATAAATGAGGTGTCTGATGATAATGCAAAGTCGCTGGGAATGAGAACGACCAATACTGGCTCGTAAAGACAAGAGCAAAATTGTTACTCGTACTCGTATCGCCGCTTGTGCATTGTGTAATGGCATAGGTATATATTATTATGACTTAATCTATGTCCACCATGAATCCATCCTGATCAACTCAGCCCAAAGAAGGCTCATTGATTTTCCAAAGACCATCGATTCCGAGGCTTGCTTCCTCAAATCAGAGCCATCTCTCCGATATCACCTACCTTGTGTTACAGAGAAGGATCTTGTACCGCAGCATAAAAGCCAGCTGTCAGCCTGTCACTAGGTACGAACGGGCACTGAAGTATTCAAGCCCCAAAATACCTGCCAATCAATCCCCTGCCTTGATCTTGATGTTGTTGAGTGTTGCAGTAAGCTTGTCTCAAGAGTTCGTATGGCTGGCGAAAGGTGTAATATTACGACCTATTGTGGCTTGGACATTACCACTTTACCTAGATAGGTACCGAGAGCCTGGAACACGCCAAGGAGTACGTATGCTCTCTCAGACCAGGAAAACTGCGAATTATGGAAAGTTGCAAAGCCACAGTTGGGTCATTACTGTGGAATGAAGTTGAGAGGTACGGACTACAGAGCACAGTAACTCCGTATCCGTACTCCGTACCTACTCGGCATATCTGACAATTGACAAGGCTCGCCCCTCTAGATCGCTTCTTATCATAACGGCTGCGGCGTAGAGCGACTAGCAAGAAGGCAAGACTTCGGCAGCACGTCACATCGCAGTTCACAATCCTCGTTCAATCCAACTTATGACCTGATTTGCCTCGCTCCCATCAACTTACCTTGGTATCCCCTATGAGGCGATGTCTTCTGATCATATTGTTGTCAGGTGGCGCTGACAGCGGAACACCTTCCAAGCAAATCCTCATCAACAGGCGACACTGTTCCATAGAATTTCACCGCCTACATCATCTCAACGGAGGACCGTCCCATTGTCGAATTTCAGACATCGCCACAGAAGACCTCATCCACCTTGCGATCCTAGGCTTGGAGGAACGCCGAGCCTTGGTTGAGAGAGAAAGGTCGAAACCTCGGCTCAAGCGTCGGCCAAGGCTTCCAAATTAATACCAGCAAATGAAGCCAAGGAACAGCTCTGTTAAACTGTTACCATCTCGAGCTTAGGGAAGATTGTCAAAGACTCAGATGAGTTGATCGAAGGTGAGGGTAGTGCAATAATCCAGCCACATGATGACTGCAGTGTCTTGTCTTATCTGCTCTTTGCTCAGAGTCTACCAGACTTCGATTTCCAGACTTCAACCTCCAAGACATGCAGCCATCCACCTGTATCAGACAGCTATTCATAATTAACAAGGTCACAAGGCATATTACTCCATTAGACCGATCTTCCCTTGGTGCGCTTGAACTGTAAAGGCTCGAAGTGGCATTTTCTACCAAAGCCGCGAAAAAATGGGGAAAATCAAAGTTCAATGTCCATGAACAACCGACCCCACGAAAACTGAACAAGCCAATCAACATTCTCGCACTCTGAGGAAAACCGCCAAACCACCTGGAAAACTCGTGGCATTTAAAGGCTTGGCCATGTAAGACACTTTTTCATTGGGCGAAAATGCACGCAATCGGTGAAATTCATTCAAAAACTCAAAGTGGGTCACTCATCGAATGTGCCCTACCTTTACTCTCAGACAGGTAATTTAGATACATGGTTCCGCGGAAGAAGCAAGCCTCTTGTACCCACTGATCGATCCATTATTATTATTGCAAGACGTTCGCCAGACGATTCAATGTCCAGGGTGATCTCCTGATAGCTGAAGTCCGTGCAGCTGGGCATCAGAAGGATGTAGTCATGCGTTCTACCCAAGTGGATCACACACATACGGAATGGTTTCGGCAATTCGAACGCGGATTGCAAGTGATGGAGTGGATGTCTAACTTAAACTGTACCACCGCGGCCAGATAAGCGCGCAGTCCTGCAGTATACTGACTACTGGCCGATATCAAGTGTTGACGACGAAATGAACAACCGAAAATTCATGCCTTGTCGCGAGTCAAGTATTAGGTAGAGCCGAGGGCCTGAGGCAGATGCAGGAGCTGATATTCGTTGAATCCTTGTCTACAGCTCCATTGAGCTACTTTACTGGTATTTATCCAAGCTCTGTCTCTATTCATATCTATAAGCGTCTGTTCGACAAAGCAATGGGTGAAATCTCCATATGTCCCTCGTCAACCATCATAGCCAGAATGTCGTCGCAATAATGATTGTAGTCCACATGATACACAAAGACCATTTGAAGCCAGCTTATACTGAGCACCACTGAGTTCTCATACAGCTTAGCGATCATAGTTTAATATCACCCATGTCCTGAGCCAGCTCGACCAAGTGCAGATGTGCGCTGCACCTCGTCCTCGAATTTCTTCCAAGGTGCGCTGCTTGCTTGCCGTCGGGCCCCGGTATGTCGTGATCTTATTATCAACACTGGACAGTATCCTAAACAGATGCCTTGTTGCAAGCAAAGTCCTCGGAGCCTGGAGCAATAAATCCAGCCTGAGCTAGGCCGATTCCTTCTCAGGTAATCCTTATATAGGGGGTTACCGCGCTAGATGCGTTGCTAGTGCATGTGATCATCTTGCCCCGAGTGTTGGGGCGCTGAAAAAAGAAAAAGATTGCCCAATATGCCAGCAACTCATCGGATCTCAGGTGCGGCCGCGGCGGCAAAATCACGGTTTACATTATCCGCATCTGTTCTTTGTGCCTCTCCAGCACTTGCTCTCGGATCAAAGATTCGCCTCCACCATCGTGGCGGGTCCAAGGGGCGATGGCCGCCGTGAAGCGACGGGTAGACGTCATTGAAGAAGTACCAGATGTGGCCGACAACAATGCCACAAATCTCATCCTTGGGCACAATGCCGTGCACAACCAGGCTGAAGGCCATCAGAACCCAGGGGAGATATGGCGCAGTGAAGACCAATATGCCGAGGAAACTGAGTCGAGTGTCTGGGTTGCGGCGACTCCAGATGTACACCAAGCTGGAGGAGAGGGCGGTGCCTAGAAAGGGAAGAGAGAGAAACGGTGAAATGAGGAGGAGAGAGGTCATCGCGTAGAATAACAGCCATGAAAAATGAGCGGGGGAACGACCGGAAGATTCTTCGAGGAGTCGCGAGTACCGCTGAAGGAAAAAGACATGGAAGAGTAGATCGAGACTTAATGGACCGAAATAGAGAAATGTTGTGAGAAGTCGCCAGTACTGCCATTACAGTCAGCCTTTGCTACTGCTCAAATAACAGCTTCCTCTGGAGCTGCGGTTTCTCATGACGTACCTGAGACTTGAAGTAGACTGCGCGGAAGCTGTAGAACAGCTGAAATGGTGTCAGGATATGACATTGCACCAATACTGATGTAGCCACGGTCGCAGCTGTCCACCAGCGAGTAACTGGAGGCATTTCATAGAACCATTGCTCCAAGGGGAACTGCCCGCCCTGTCCACCATTTCCCCAGATGGCGGCCATTACGTCGGAGATAGAGCAATAACAGAGCGGAGAACAGGTTGAGCTTGGTTAAGGAAGTGATTGACAGTGAGTGATACGAAGAACTGAGCGACAATCAATGACTTAATGAAGAGCATAAGCCGTATGATTGAATAATGTACAAAAGGCACATGTGATCTTGGACAACATGTCAAAGTGGATAAATAATAACACGGCAGGCACAAGAGCTCTAGGTGGCCTTTTCTCCATCTCCGAACAGACGTCAGTCGGGGATTTGCTTACGGTTTGCTTTCTTGGCCGATAAGCAATTCCAGTACTTATCATCACGTGAGATCCAAGCGCGCGCTACGCGTCAAATAATCGGATGGCTGGGGACAACATTCTGCCGGCGCATTGAGAGGCAGTGGAGACATGGAGTAATTGAGAGATTACCAACCCCCCAATTCCATCCCAACCGTGTTATTCCCTTTGAGAAGACTGTTCTCAAAGATAGAGGGCTCCATGTCAAGTGGTCCTCGGGTGGAATTGGTTCGACGTCAGATCAGATGCGCATTTAACCACCTAGATTAGGACCAAAACAAAACAAACTACCTTTTGTCTCGCGTGAACCCTGTCATCAGACAGGACGCAGCAAATTGTGGAGGGCGCATAATCGCACAGTCGGTCGGTTATCTTCAACGGTTTTATTCTCACGAAAACCGGGCCGTCGAGTAACAATTCTCGCGTAACGACCGAACGCGCATTTGTTCACCATGCCGCCGAAGAGAGGACGAGGCCGTAAAACAATTGGGGCCCCTCGAACACAACCTCGAGATGACGGAGGTGCAGGTCCATCTAATGCTGCGGCCACTGCATCACCTTCCACTCGAGGACGGCCGCCCAAGTCCCGCGGAGGAACAAGGGGGGCAAGCGGCCAGCCGGCGCCCCAAGGCCGTCAGACGTCCAACGTATGTACATACATGGCTCCTTACGCAGACATATCAACTATGCAATAGCATTACCGCTGATACCGTGCTAGCTGGGGACCCCACCCCCCAAGGTCGCCGACACCGGTACAAGCCGGGGACCGTCGCATTGAAAGAGATCCGCAAATACCAGCGCTCATATGACCTCCTTATTCAGAAGCTACCGTTTGCGCGACTCGTACGCGAGGTCGCATTGGAACTTCTCCCCGCTGAAGTAGGCGCGGAGTTACGATGGCAGTCCCACGCAATTCAGGCACTACAAGAGGCCGCTGAAGCTTTCCTCGTCCACCTTTTCGAGGATACCAATCTCTGTGCTTTGCACGCTAAGCGTGTAACGATTATGCAGAAAGATATCCAGCTCGCCCGAAGAATACGCGGTGTTTGGGGAGGTCTGGGTTGATTTGAGCTTCCAGATTGCAATATAACGGCGTTTTGTGGGGAAAGAAATATCAGTCAACAAAGGGGGGAAAAAAGATCTCTCATTTGAGGAATTAGACGCAAGGGAGCGAAGGTCCCAATATCGATATTGCACGCAGGAAGACGACTTGTTCCGTGATGTTCGATTCTCATTCCATTTTTTTACTGCTATGCCATGGTGCGATTCAACCTGGCTCTGAGTGGTGTACACGTTGCAGGCGTATGGAGAGTTGTGGAGTCATATTCAGGAAATGGGTTTCTACCTGGTTCGTGTCGGCCGTTACATTGAGATTGTTTGTGCCATGGCCAAAGAGCCTTCGAGTTCAATGCATGTATATTAAGTAGTTGCCTTGCCAGCAAGGTTGAAATAGTGGATGCGATGTAGTCGGTTGCATCTAACTTGTGTGCACTTCAATTCCGTCAAGGAAATCACAATTTATCAATGTCTGGAGACTTACTAGTATTATGCAGTTGAGCGTTTCTGGACAAATTCTCGTTCAATTTTCATCAGGTGTCGGAGGGCAATACCTGCAGTCTGCATATTCATAGCAGGCCTCCATGTTCATATAGCAGATGCTGTAGCAACAACTTGTTGTATCAATAGACGAGCTCCCATTTATGTATCCCAGATGCGCCAGCCATGTCCCATGTACGCAAAGATCATCACAATTGGCCATGAAGTGGTATCACAGAACAGAAGGCTAGCAAAATTGCCTTGGACAGAAGAAGCGAAAACGAAAAGACATAAGAACGAAGATATAAAGAGAAGAAGGTGCAATCACACAGGTCGTTTCAGAGCTGGCGGCAATCCGGTCATCACGCGGTGACCCTCGTCGCGAACTCCCTCTGCCTCTTCACTTTTCCCTTGCCTTTCTAAGGTCTCTGCCAGCATTTCATCAGTGACACTGACCCAAAGCCGGTCATTGGCCTTCTTTGCCATTGCCCGGCCTGCGCGAGCGCTCTTTTCAGCTTGCTCCCCAACCACGCCACGGAAATACTTCCAGCTCATGAACGTCAAGGTCATGCAGGTGATTTGACTGTTGCTTATTGCCGTGGCAGATTGAAGAGCCTGCTGAAGATACTGCTTGGTCTGAATGGTCGACTCTGTTTGTACTGTCGCACATACAAGGTAATAAGCCGCCTGGATATACTTGTTCGGGCTACCCTTACAGAATGACTCGACAAGGGCCAAAGCGTTGGGAAGATTGGAGTGAGACGGATGATTGGGGTCACGGAGTATGAGAATCGTATTTAAGGCGGCAAGGATAGCGATGTCACGACGAGGATCATTTCGTGCTGTCTTGCTGGTGATTGACGATAGTGAGAGAAGAGGGGACTGGAAAATGGAAAGGGCAGCCTCCAGATCACCGGTCGCCTGCGCAAGTGCGCCCGTTGCATACTCCATCAAGCGCTGAATGGTGTCAGGGAGCTGATCCCCGAGTTCCTCTGCAATGGGGCGCAGCTCCTTCAGTGCCTGATTCGCCAGATCCCAATCCGTCCGACCACAGGCAAGAAAAACCTGATGCAGAAGAAGATTGCAATACAGAATCCGCCGCCAATCAACGCGTCTATTCGCACTGACCATCGACTCTGCAATTTCTTGTGGTGCTTTAAAGCTCCCTGCGGACTCCCATTAGAACTTTTTAGAACCCCAGAAGGGAAATATGACATACCTTTAACCATTCGTATCCCTTCCTGAAGAAATTTCTCAGCCTTGCGACCATCATAAGAGTTCTTTGCGCTGAGTGTGATCGAGCTAAGAAAATAGCAAAGCGCATAGAGATCGTGCTGGGGAAGCCAATTGAAACTCAACAGGAGCGTCCCATTTTGAACTTGAAGGATATCGCCCGTATCAATGGAGGAGGGTCCAGCTGATCTTCCGCTCAAAGGAATTGAGAAAGAGCCATCAGCACGCCAATTCGGATCATTCAATCTTTCGTCCATCAAATCTTGCATGACCTTCAATTTCTGAGACGACTGGTTGACGTCGCATTCAAGGAGACTGCAACAAATATCAACCATTTGCACCAGAGTCGAGAGCTGCGGTATATGACGGAGCTCGTCGTTGAGTTGATGGCTTCTTGCTACTGCAACCGCACGCTGAGCCTGTTCGATTGCATCGGAGCTCGTTCCATGTTGCAGATGAGCAAGTGCTTCAATCACGGCCGAGATGGCCGCAACAGCTTTGTCGCCTTGTCGGTTAGCCATATTCGAGATCTTATGTAGATGTTGCAGCGCCGAGACGGAATCCTGATGCCCCGATGTTGATAACGAAAGTGACACACGAAGAAAGCGAAAAGCATACTCCCAAGCCGAATGGCGGTATCTGCGCCTGTTAGAACCAGGCTGTGTGGAATGCAATGTTCCAACTTACGCTTCGACATCCAGTATCATACCATCGACAGCCTTCAATGAGGCTTTCGGGTTGGTCTTGTGTAGCATCCGCGCCAGGAGATGCTGCATACTATATTTGAGATCTAACATGCGATTCTGCAACACTGTAAGTAATCTGATGGTATGTTCCAAAAGGAACGGCAGTGCATAGCCGAGGGATGCCAACTTACTCTCTCACATAAATCAATCTGTCGAAGCAAGAACGTCAGTAGACTGCTGGTTTAATGAACGACTGTGCGCTGGAGCCCTTACCCCTTTACTCAGGGCTGTTTCTGCCTCAAGATCATTCTCCGTCTCCTCAAACAGTATGCGCGCATATCGCAATCTTACAAGAGCTTCCATTCGCGGTTGTAGCCTCCAATTCTAAAGGGTAACACTGAAATTAGCTTGAATGGTCGACAGTTACTGGCAAAGCAATTGTTGTAATCGGGGGAAGCGGCAATTCAAACCTTTAATACTGCCTCCAGACAACCAAGACCTGTTGCAACAAGCTTGTAATATTCCTCAATTTCCATCTCCCGCCTTGACAAAGCAACCATGGTCCCGTGACCATAAGCTGCCTTTAAATACTCATCTGCCAAGCTCAACAAGAGGACTTGATAGTCTATAGGCGGCTTGGTTGGCTTCTGCACGGGTTGCTGAGCGTTCTGTCGTTGCACTTGTTTTTTAGAGCTTTGGCGCTGCATTTTCTGTTGCACTTCCGGTGAAGGAGCCGGGACCAGGACTTGAGGGAGGGGTTTCTTGGTCTGCACGGGAGGCGCGGGTTTCGACGCCGACGGAGCGGGAGGAGCAGGTCTCGAGGATGGAACAGGGGTCGCAGGTTTCGATGATGACGGAGGTGCGGGTTTCGGAGATGGCACAGGAGCGGCAGCTACTGAATTCGCTCTTGGAACCGAATGCGCTGGAAGAGCAACCTGGGGGTACTGGTTGAAGACATTATTCCCCAAGTCTGGAGTTGGGGCAGTCTGATATGCCGATTGTGTTGATTGCGCGGGTGTTGATTGCGCAGATGTTGAGGAGGCTGCGACGGCTGGGGAACGGTTGCTGTTGCCTGCAACAGAAACCATAGGTTGGGCACCATATTGGGTCGAGCCATGGACAAGTTGAGATGACGAGGCAGGAGGAATAAGCGGTTGATGGAACACGTCAGATGGGTTTACATATTGTTGTTGCGGCTGCTGCTGCGGCTGCTGCTGTTGGTGATGCTGCGATTGTGGTTGGTGTTGATGCTGCTCTATATTATATGCTTGTCCGTACGTCGAATATGGCGATATTATAGTCTGAGGGTAAGCGACAGGCTTGCCATACTCATATGGCGAAGCATTTGAGTCGGCATTGCTATACAGTAGCTGCTGTGGTTGTTGCAAATATTGCGGAGGATATTGACCGTTATGAGATGGTGGGTAGTTCATCGCCCCCGAACGTAGATAACTGTCATGGAATCGCAACACTCTGCTATCCCGGTTGATAGATTTCGAATTTGAGGACGAAGATGTTATCGAACCAGATACCTTTCATCGTGATACGCGCCTTTGCCGTTTCGGTTCGGAGAAACTCCAGGGCGGTCAGACCACCTGATTCATCTACGTATGACCCTCGTATGAGCGACAGCCTAACAGAAAGACGCTCGTGCTGAAACCATCGACGTTATTCGCAAGGTGCTTCTATTTTATTAACGATTATTACAGGGAGACTGAGGTAGGCAAATATCAAGCAGATGGTACAGATATGCATTGCAAGGAAACGACTTGATCTACCATCAGGGTATACTCTATGAGAAGCAAAGGTACCTATCCAAAACAGACAAAAATGAGAAGGGAATCAAATCCACAAGAAGTCACTGGGAAATGAGAGGCATAATACACAATGGCAAACAGAAGTGCAGTATGAATGCGTGTCATCATAACGCCTTGCCCTCACCTAATGGCCGATCTGGAAGTGCCGAAGGCTTAGAGAGTCTTCCCAGTCTTTAAATCAGGTTTATTGAAGTGTAAAGCTGACTCATCGACTGATCTTGGACTGCAGGACCAAGGATATCCATTCCCAAAGCAGGTGGGCCGGTAGAAGGAGGATGCTCCCGGACAGTCCAAGGGCATACGTCGCTGCAATTGTCCACTTCAACCGAATTCTCAGCGGGATGTATGCGTTGAGAAGCCCACGTCTGATCTGGCGTCGATATCGTCCCACCAAGGCATCTTTCGGTCCAGAAGTGGTAAGTTACCCTGCCTGAGTCCTGGTCAACACGAGAAGGTTGCCTCCGAGGACACTTGAGCACAGAGTTGCAAGAATTGCAAATCGATATTCGCTTGCATGACGCGCAGATGCTGTCGAAGCTTTGGCAAATAGTCGTCTGGCATACACTGGAGAGCCACAGGTCGACTGATCGATGAGCACATCCGAACCGGGGCGTTATGTATTCTTCCTTTCCTAGCTTCCCGGATTCCGTTGTCAATCGGTATTCGGTCTTGATTTTCAACTGATCTTGATCGTCCAGCTCCGGATAGATCTCAATATGTAGCTGCGTTGGGCCATAGTCCTTGGTGCAAGAATGCCAGCAGAACCGCTGTTGAATGCGGGCTCCGAACTGAGACTGTAAGGCGGCAACCGACCGCTGTCTCACTTTCAAAAGTTCAACAAGATCCATCTTATCCCGAAACGTCAATTTCTTGCAGGGACACAAGTCAACTATGCCCGCAAAGTCACCCAACAGGCATACTCGGTCCTCCGGTTTGCGCCTGAGTTCGCGAGAGGAGAAAGCATCTCGCGGATGGAGCTTCAAGCATTTCGAGCAGGCCGACCACCTGCTGTTCTCTAGTATGTTGATGAGCTGCCATCGTGTGGTGACGAAGTTGTGTCCGTTTCGGTAATGATGGAATAGAGGTGCAAAATCCTGGCTGAACCTGAAGGGTCCAAGTTAGCGAAGTGGACTTCAATCCCTGGGTAAAGCTGACGAGGCAGTTTCTGTACCTTACAGATCTGAAAATGGCTCCGGATATCGCAAACAATCGTTTACAGGTCAGAGCCAGGCAAGTTTCAGGTATTACAGATAGATGCGAGATGATCTCTAGCAGCAGCTCTGTTGGCAGTTCAAGGAGGTAGCACCGAGTCGAAGGTTTCGTCGCTGTGGTCTGCTCTTCGGATTGACCTCGCGCCCACGTGTCCATCTTCGCAACAGTCTTCAGCTTTTCTCCAGCCCGGCGAAAAGGATACACCATGTTGACTGAAAGCCGCGTGCTTTTGATACGGGCTAGACTAGAAACCAGCAACTTGGCGCTTTGTCTCCAGCGTTTCTCGCCCTTTACTCCGAAAACCTTCGTTGAAGATTGACAGTAAGTCATGGATATGGTAAGAACCAGCTAGTTGGCTGCTGGCTCTCTGGTAGCATACTGTGTAGTTATATGAAAGACACAAAAAGCGCAGCGCGTGACAAAGAGCCGTTCAAAAAGGAAGACTAAGATACGGAGGACCTGTTGACCTTGAAGTAGTCCCCCACGATGGCTTAAGTTGCACGCAAACGGAGCACGCGCTATGATCACAGTGCAGCAGATGCTATCAGCATTACATACAAGGCTAAGGCTCCCGATGCAGGGTCACTGTCCGACCACCCTAAAGGATGGCTGCTTCAACTCTTCAATAAAAAATGCTGCAAGCATACATAAGTCCCAAATAATCTGTAAAGTATATTTAGAAACCAGATTTCCATTGTGAAAGGGATTTGCAGGATGACTTCTCGCCGAATTTTGAGCTGGCTTTCCGCTTCCGGATTCCTGGCAGCCGCATTGAGCACTCTTTAAGTCTCGTATATGTCTGCATCTTTCTTCTCAAAATATGCTCACTTCCAAGCATGTGCCACTTGACTTAAGAAAAGCCACTGTCCATCCTGATAAAAAGAGGAGGGAAAGAGTCCGATGTAACTGGCTTTATTGTTATCAACTGACTGCTAGCTTCATGATCATAGGGTTTCTCTTGTGTCTCATGATGCAAGGGAAAGCAAACAGAACAAACAGCGGAAGCAAGCATGTGATTGCTGAGTCATTGATCAGATAAAGGATGCTTATGTCATGGCTTCCCGATATGGTAGTGATGCCGAGGCAGAAGGAGAGGAAAAATCCTATACATGCAGAAGGCGTGGTGCAGAGTGGTAATGTAGGTCTGTTTCTGTCTTCTTGATTCTGTATTCTATTTCTTTCATTTTGTGGCTACTATTTTTTGCTTATAGATCAGATTGTTGATGTATTCAGACAGGTCAGTCGATCATTGCTCCCTTTCAGCTCTCTAGACTGCCGCTGTGGCCATGACTGACTTGCCATTCAAAGTATCCTAAACGCCTATTTACTTCCGTGGATTATTTCTGGGCTGCTGCTCGTAATAAGCATGTTGTCATGGATTCGGCCAAGTGCACGGCTTTCTTTTTTTCATTCCAAGGATAACAAACTCCTGTTGACCAAGAAGCCTGGCGAATCCGGTGTTAAGCAGCAGGTTGCGCTGGCGGATGTCTGTCGCTCTGCGACGCCGGCGAAATGCCATCTGAATCCGTTCCTTTTCAATGGGCATTTGCAGACTGCCTGGACCACCGTCAAATTCGACGATGTTCCTGTGTATTACAAGCGTAGGATGTTTGAGGCCGACAGTTCGATGTATAAAGGGCACTTTGCAGTGGATTTCGTCGTTGAGCCGTACGAAACGCCCAAGGACAACGCCGAAGCTACTGATGAAGCGAGGAGATACACTCTGCCTTCAGGTCTTCCGGAACGGACATCTTTCTTCTCAGAAGAGGAGTTCCAAGCTCTGCCTTCAGACGACACCAAGCCCATGCTTGTGCTTCTCCATGGGTTAAGCGGTGGCTCACACGAGATCTATCTGCGCCATGTACTCGCGCCACTCATTGCAGATGGGAATTGGGAAGCATGTGTGGTCAATTCCAGAGGCTGCTCTCAAACCAAAATCACTACCGGTGTGCTCTACAATGCCCGGGCCACTTGGGATGTTCGTCAAACTGTAAAATGGCTCCGCAAAGCGTTTCCAAATCGTCCCCTGTTCGGAATTGGGTTTTCTCTCGGCGCAAATATCCTTGCCAATGTAAGTTGCTCTCCGTTCATTATTTGAGGGTGAATTAACATTTTCGTGCACAGTACCTCGGTGAAGAAGGTGATGCATGTCAGCTGAAAGCGGCGGTGCTCTGTGCAAGCCCCTGGAATTTAGATGTCGGCTCAGCAAACCTTCAAAAGACGTGGCTCGGACTTGAGGTGTACAGTAAGACGATGGGATCAAGCATGAAGCGACTCTTTGAACAGTGAGTTCAGCGCTGTCAATAGCTATCTTGTTATCCAGGCTGACTGATCTATATCAGGCATGTTGAAGAAGTCTCAAGGAATCCGCGAGTGGACGTGGAGGCAGTCAGAAACTCTACATACTTGCATGAATTTGATCGGTAAGACCTCGTACATTCTCTCAGAACACTTTTTCGTCACTCGGTTATTGATCATTCCGTTAGGGCAGTGCAATGCCCAACCTGGGGATACCCTACAGAAGGTGCATACTATCGAGACGCGGCATCCATCGATTCCGTGCTTGCCATTCGAATCCCGTTCTTCACAGTGCAGGCTGAAGATGATCCGGTTGGTTCTGCAATTGATTCTAGGGCTTAACGTTGAACTAATCACTTTGTAGATCGCTTCGGTCGATGCGCTTCCTTTTCAAGAAATGACTCAGACACCTTATGGTGTCATGTTGACTACGTCTTGGGGCGGTCACCTCGGTTGGTTTGAACTTGGTGGAGATAGGTGGTTTGTGAAACCGGTGTGTATCTTCCTAATAGACGCGATGACGCTTCTACTGACCTTTGAGACAGGTGACAAACTTCCTGAACGCGATGGCCAAGGAGATTGACCTCGGGACGCCATTCATAGTTGAGCATCCCGAGAAGCTTCCTGGCCATATTGCGAACCACTTTGATCTGAACAAAGATGCAGACACGGCGCCTAAACCGGACTTTGATCCTATGCGGCGCAAATTGGCCATGAAGATGGTGCAATAAAGGAACATAAATACACACTTCTGGCCTCATTGGGAAGGCCGGTATATAATGCCCGTTCATTTCAAATTCGGGTAATACATAGACCTGCGGAAACGCCAAATAACCCATCTAGATACATAAAATTGGTATAGATAGAATGAGATTTTGTACATAGAACGCTCAAGCAAAAGAAACACTCTTTCTCTTTCCTTTTGACTTTGAATCTGATTTGGACGTCGAAGCATCGGGTTTAGAGTCTTCATTGCCGCCGCTCTTGTGCTTCCGCTTCTGGCGAATTGATTGTTTCGCTTCTTCCTATATCCAGAGGTTCTCGTCAGCCAATGCCTCCATGCAGAGCAAGTCCAATAGAGAATTTTTGCGAGGAGACGGTAATGCAAATAATATCGATACATACCAACTTGTTCTTCTTTTCCGCGTGTCTCGCTTCTGCTTCCTTTCTCTTGGCTTCGCGAATCTCCTCTAATTGACGCGCCTTCTGCAGCTTGGACTCAATGTGGCCCTCTTGTTCTGCATTGACCATGGCAAGAATAGTCATCATTCCCTCCTATACATGGAGCAGGTATCAGTGATCTTCAGCCAAAGCGAGAGACAAAGATTGGAGAGTGGACACACGCACCTGATCATCAACAAAAACCTTTCCCTTCTTCTTGCCCTTTGGCTTCACTACTCCGACAGGTGTGATCATATTCAGCTTCGGGAGGCCAAGTTCTTCTTCCGTATATTCCCTCTTCTTCGTCTTCTTCAATAGTGACGACTCCGTGCGTGCCTTCGACTTCACTTCCTTGGGTGGCGGGCGCTTTGCATTTTTCTTGCTCACTTTCGAGGCGGATGAGAGAGGCTTGCTCTTTCCTGAGTCGCCCTTGGAGGATGACTTGCCTTTGACTGAAGGCTTATTCGGCGCCATATCTGTTATCTATCGTGATCGTGGCTCGCACGTGGATATCGTGCAGAGGGAATCGGTTTTGCGGATAACTTTTCGTTTAAGGTACGCTGATGGCGACAGGACGAAAAGTAGACCAGAATCGTATTAGACAGATTTCAGGGTTACTGGCACCGATAAATGGACAACAATGCGTATTTGGAGATTAATTTCTGGAGTCGACCATGGCAAATCTCGATGCTCTCCAAATAACTGCGGACGAAATTTTTCGCAAAAGGAAGGCGGTATGGCCAACCGGCGAGGATCCCAAACCTCCACTTCCCACCCATCCATCGTCACGCTAACTTGAGCCCGGAAAGGAACGTCGACTTTCAGCGCACCTGTCCCTCCTCCAGCTTGCTGCGTCTTGGCCCGGATCACCGACCACTTCCAAGATGACCATCAATCCCACTTACCTCGCGCAGCGCACGCGCTCCTGTATGTGTAGCACTTCCCGCCCCGAGACCGTCCCGCGATGACCTTACAAATTGCCGCGATGTCAGTGGATGAACTGGTCAATGCTAACGTACATGTTCATGACAGCCGTCAATTGGGCCGATGCAAAGTCTCGCGTTATCCAGTCCTACAGAGCATGGCTCAGAGCGGTCAGTTCGCCCATCCCGCAGCTATACATACTCTGATTTGGCCCTTGGATTTCCGTCCATTGAGCCGCTGAAAGCTCTAAGCATCGGCGAATGTTTCTCTACAAGCAAGAAAGGACTAACATGAAAACTTCGAGGAGAACAGTCCCCCGAGATTCAGACCATGTACTCCTTGAACCTCCCCGTATCCGCAATCCGGACGAAGATTCGCCAAGAGTTTGAGAAGCACCGCTACGTCCAGCAGCTGGGCGTTGTTGATGTTCTGTTGTTCCAGAGCCATGCAGAGTACCAGGTCAGTTCAACCAACGATATATCCTCCGTGGCTTGATCCTCTGTCTCGACACAGCCTTCTTCGGACTTCACTGATGGTATTTCTCTAGGAAACGCTCAACTACTGGAAGCAGCTTTCGCATGTGATGAAATACTTCCGGCCGGAAGAGGAGCCCGGTGCTAGATTACCTCCTAACTTCATCTCTGGCTTCTTGGAAGGCCGCAATTGAATTTTCCTTTCGAGTTTTCTCACTTGCCATGAGTTTCTTCCGCCTTCGGGGATTGGGTCATTGCGTTGCGTCCCAGATAGAGAGCGGTCATGTAAATATTGTCAGACTAGCAAATCGCACCTTTTTGTTTCATTCTGCCTTTCCAGTACTTGAAAAGATCATAGAAGGCAATGGACATCTCATGGACAGACGTTATCTTTTGCAGGTCTGCTGCACATCATACACTGTAGAGGGATATCTAATCATTCTATTCAAGACAAGTTTACTCCGGTACAATGCCATGGACAACAAAATCGTCCCAATAATGAGTACAAAGGAAACTTTTTGCTTCAATATACAACGCCATAAATGTCAAACCTACCCAAGAAGAGCCATGCATCACGAGGTCATCTTATCAGCCTGGGCAGCATTGAACGCATCCCGCGCCGATGTGAATTTGTCTGTGACAACATCACAGAGGTCCATCAAAGCCTCTAAACCCTTCTCCAGGGCTTCAACTGCAGTCGTCGAATCTGCGATATTCCCGTCAGCTTCATCAAACCCGCCTATGTGTGGTGTGGCAAAATACATACCGTAGGTCTGGATACGCAAGTTCATCTTAGCTTCCGAGGGATGCGGGATCGTGTATCCGCAGAATTCAACTTCGGGGCTGAAAGGCGTAGGGGTCAGCAGTGGCGACAGAGAAACAGAATAAGGCCGACTCACTTCTTCATGATGGCATAACGTAACGCATTCCCCAGAGTATGCCCCTCACCTTCAAACTGGAAAGAAGCTGCCGTCTCGGTGGCACCCGGTAGCTAAGAAGAAGACTCAGTAAGCGACAAATCGACGAAAATTCGTGCTGCGTGTCTGACAGGGAGCAGAATCGCGCACGAGGGGAAGTATAACGTACCACGACAATACGCTTTTCCTCAAGCTCGAATTCCTCCTGTTCATAGTCCTGCTGCTGTTCAAGCTCCTGGGGAGCAGTGTCCATCATGGACTGGTCTTGGTCTTGAGAGTGTACAGAGGCTGGCATGGTGGATATTCGAAGAAAGGATATGGAGCACGGTTTAGTCGTACAGAGAGTGATAGTTGAATGCGGGCTTCGTCAGCCTGGCCCAGGTACGGAAGAGTGCGTTGAATGCGCCCTTTCGAAAATTGCTAGCTCAGATCCGTCCGGCTTTGATGGATATGTCTCCTTTTTCCAGTTGTGAACCTCCTTATCCAGTTCTTCTTGTTCCGAGATCAGTGGTTTGTAAGCAGCGGAGCTCGTTCGGGCGTTGCGTTCCTAGGTGTCCTTCCAGCGGAGCAGATCTAATCGATGGAGCAGGTGCAAGTGGCTTGGACTGTGAAATATAGGTCGTGAACGCAATTGAGTAGTGACGCCGAGGAGGAAATCCGAGTTGCGCAGTTCGCCAGGTCCCTCAAAAGGAAGAAAAAGAGCAAAAATGGTTATCGATAGCGCGCTGACCGCCTTCGGTATCCGGCAGATCTTGGCGGATCATCAGGCCGCCAGGCGTAGAGAGGTACCTTGACATACGGAGTACATCCCTTGGAGCTCGAAGAGGAGCTTTTCTGCACTGTACAATGACTAGGGTTTACTTTAATGATTGATCATTCCGAATGTCTACAGTCGCAGCGAGCGGAATTAGAGATGAGGAGTTGCTGTTCGGCCGAACGAAGCGCACCTTAAAGAGATACAGAGCTTCGATACGGAATCTCATGCTTTACCTTCAGCAACTGTACTGAATCGGCGACTGTGGTTTTGTCAGCTCGGAGTGATCATTTGGGCTTCGAAGGCTCAGAACGTGCCCTCTATGCTTAATACAGGATACATAGCATACTTCTATACGGAGTACGGAGTACTAGATATCCATGAGATAATGTGACCGAGACAAGCTCTCCTGCTGTTGTTGCAAGCAGCCGTCGGGGATCTGTGCAGGTACCTATTGGCTGTCCTATTCCTCATACAGTCCAGCTTGTAGTTACCAAACATCTTAGGATCGACCACTACCCCGATTTTGTGGATGTTGTGCAACTGTGGCTTGTCGAGCAGGAGCTATCAATATCTTCAGTGACCGCAGTGCAGAGACAGGATTCCGTTGGATCTGCTCTGTCAGTCAATGTTTCAGTTCAACCGGCAAGATTGAATTAGCAGCATGAGCGACTATACCAAGGGATATGATATCGGTCATTCGGGTTCTCGAACAGCTGCGACTTCTTAAGACACATATTCCTGTAGCATGTCATTTATCTATGGCAAGAATTTTTCCGAAGTGTAGGGATTACGGAGCCTGACAGGCTGACAGCTGACAATTGGCAGACACTGAAAGAAACTATTGAATTGAAACAATGGGCTTAGGTGGAGACCCAGTTTGGTCCGAGCGGCTGAAATCTGAATATGGTAATAGACTTGTAAACTTTGCTGCTATTTGGAGAGATCTCAGATTAAGATCGGCTAAAAAATGGACGCAAAGACCACTGGCCAACTGCTACCATGATCCAGATTTGTCGCCCGTGTTCCTAAGTTCATACTTCCTCGAGGCCGTGACATAATTTCGCTAGAAACACTCATGGGGCCAAAAGATCACTAGTGCATCCATCGAGCACGTAGTGCGACTGTGCTAACTTGCTAAGGTTGGCCTAGAATAATTTCCCGGCGGTTTGGATCATGGACTGCGACGACATTCGCGTCTTACTTTTTCCGACTTGTCACAATCCCGATGGATTTATGAGCTGGCTTGTGGCTCGTGCCATGTCTCATTAAGAGGATTCAGATTACGGATGGATTACCAATATTCAGTGACTTCAGTCAGACAGGCTCGCACGCTGTAGGTAACTTGATCAGAGGGCTGTCCACTTCTAGTACAAGTCTAGATGGCTAGAATGCTGCCAACTCTGTACGTTGATCTTTACAGGTAGATATCACATGATAGTGATCTTTGCGTTGCTCCATAGCAAGGTTAATAGCTAAATACCTTATGCAATGACAGGGTTCCCAAGTTTGCTTATAATTATTGCACATTAGCCATGAACCACTTTCCAGTTTGCACTGCGATTAGACTACTGTCAGAGACCTAGCTCAATAATTAATATAGCCGCTGCAACAAGAACAGGGATTGGCTCTCTTCCTGCATTAACTAGATCGATCCGTGCGTCGATATCTCATCTCAGCAATAATGGCAGGCCGCACGGGTCAAAAGTACCTGTCAGAAGGAACCATTTTTCCCTGAGGCAGATCTGAGTTTCTACTACTACCAATGCTCCGAATCCGTAATTCAATGTTGCACCCGCACTGACTCCTGTAATGGACTAGCATTCCTGAAGGAAAGATGTTGGACCGCACGAGGCATGGGTCTGTGTACGGCGAATAGAGAAAGGGCCATATTGTCGGGCAAAACGCGGACATTTGAGTGACTCAGAAGCTCTGGCGAAGCTCGATCCATAGAGGTTAGATATATATGACCTCCCGGAGAATACCATGAGAGAACGAGCCGAGATAACAGCATCTGCTGGATCTCAATGAAACTAGGGATGTCTAGTATCCCGGTTTTGGTTGGGGACGAGCAACCTGATGAGCATGAACGGTTGACTATTGAAGCTCATTGTACATGAAATAGACATACGGATACTATATCTAGGTAGAAAAGAAGAAAGGTGATTGTGTCCATTCAGATTGATTTTCTGATGGTGATCAGGAAGAGCAGATATATGCATAAATTAGTCCCTCGTGGGCATGGTCCTCGACTGACTGCCTGGTTTATTGGAGCAATTTCTTCTGCCTCACAGTCATCTCAGTATCTAGTCTACTCCATAACGTCAGAAAGAGTCACACATAAAATCTGATGATATTAATTTCTCTTCCAAAAGGAACCTCAAAATGACCAAGCGAGGCCGTGACGCTAGAAAATTAAACAACAAATGCCATGGTTCGGGGATTTGATTGGAGGACTTGAAGGATCGTGGTGAGGGACACTGGTGTCGCAGATATGGTCACCCTGGCTCGCCACAGGGGAAAGAGGGGCAGTATTTGTGTGTACTGTAACTGACTAGGAATGGACTAAACCAGTATATACGCGTTTGAGAAATGTTTGCTACTATGGATACTCTGTAGATTATTAACTCTTGCTATCCCCTGGTTTTTGAACGTAAGCTCGCGTAATTATGTGTTGTAATTCAGTTGAACTATGAGTATATCCACTAATTCATTGCTCGGAAGTCAACTCGGTAGAACCTGGGCACCATGCCGTTCGTTATCTTGAAGATATGCCTCGAAAGTCAAATCCGTTCAGAATGTATTTCCTATCTTGGTTACTTGATACCAAGCTGTCGAATGTCGATGCTGGGTCGACGCTAGATCCCCAATTAATGCCAGAGGCGGGAAGGGAAGCCAGAATGGGGTCAGACCGTCAGACCTTATGGTGTTCCAGATTCCAATGGTTGTAAGCGTAATACCAAAATATCTGTCCATACCTATGTATTGTTGTTCAGGTTGCAAACCGAACTGCGATTCTGTAAGCACGCCATTTACTCGGCTTTGACTTGAGGCCGAGGCATACCTAGTTTTTGCTTCCTATCAGCTCGATCTGATGATTATGTTTAATATACATATGGTATGGTATCCACGACTGAGGTACGAATGGCAACCCAGCATGCATTTTTGAAAGTTGGCTGTCTTAGTTGTCACATCATTGACGGGCAAGCCCTGGGCAGAAACAATCCATGTCTCAGAATGCTCCAATCGAGTCTCCTCCCAAACTCTCATTGTCTCCACTCACCCTTTGCCCTGACAATCAGGAGGAAACAATAGTAACACTTAATGAAACAAATTAAGTACATATCTCTTTGATCTCAGCTTTGGTGTGTCCACAAACTCGAAATATCGTAGAATTCCAATAGATTCCATTATCATATTCAGTCCAAGTATAGAGTACAGAGTACCTTATGGAGTATGTGATGGCTGTATGAGCAGTCTGGCGATATGAATAAGGATACTCAATAATCCAGGAATTTCATCCATTTAATGCCTTACGCCGCGCGGGGGAGGGGGGGGGGGGCGCGCTTGAATCTCAGAGATGTTTTAAAATTGTCCTACAGAATCAAGTGGTCACAGCTTGTCTAGTTTCATCCCCACATGCTCCTCCTCCCCTTCTCCATAGTGATTAGTTAGTCCGTCCATACTCCCATAGCCTCATGTTGTAAACTTGTATGCATCGAGGATGCTCCATATTCCGATATCCTCCTGTCAGCCTCTTTGAGAGTCGCCCAGCCCCTCTTTAATTATATTATTACTCGTTAGCAGCTGAGCACATTTTCTCTTTCTGAGTCCTGACCTTTGCTTTTCCATCCATATCCCAAGTGGTCAGACACTGCTATCCAAGTTACAACACCCAAAGTGTCCATGATAGATCCACTTTTGTATTAGATAGTATGCTCCATTTTGTTTCTAATTTCTCATCTTGATTTTCATCATTATCATTATCGTTATTATTATTATTTTATTGCCTCCTCTCAGTCCCGTCGTCTTATATCTGTCTTCCAGTCATACCTCTTCGTCCTTAGTTCTCTCTCTTTCCTCTCCTCTTCCCCTTTGACCTTTCTCAAAATCACCTGTCATTTTATTTCTTCTTTTCATCTTTTCCCTTTTTCGCGTGTTCTAGCCTTGTCTTTGTTCTCTCTCTCCCTTTTAGGCAACTTGCCTGTTTGCCTGCATACTAGTTGGCCAGACCTATCGAGATCCCTGTCTAATTTCTCTCGCTTGTTGCTCTGGATCGATCTCCGGCCTGACCGACCCTGTCGGCGCCGTCACACTGCCGCCAGCCAGCTTTACTTAACCGCCCTCTCCGAAAGTGTCTGACCACTTCGTGTCACACCTCCAACAGCTTTTTTCTTTTCGAATCATTCTCCTTTTGGGCGTGGGTCATATCTCTCAGTACCGTGACTCTTCGCTCGTCTTCTTGACTGTCCCTTGACTTGGTAGTGGCGGTGCTCTGCTTGTCGCTGTTTGTGTTTCGGGTTGCTTTTTCTGGATATTTG